TCTGTAGCGTCAAGAGTTAGGTTGGAGTCGGGCAGAAGCGACCACTACAGTACCTCTGGGATTTTCCAGGCCCGTAAGCACATCGACCGCCTCCCTGTTGAATCAACTACTGCTAGCACATAACAATTATTCGCATAAGTTTGGGTTAGACTGCCGAGCCTCCTCCGGACGTTGGCGGAGGTTTCAGAAGTCCGTGAGGATAGTTTAATACTGTTGTACGCAGGACAACATTATCAACAGAGTCAAGGGAAACTGGAAACTGGCTTGTTAGCCGTCAGCAGCCGGTCTAAGACTGCAACTGGAGATTCTGTGCACAAAAAAGTTTACAGTCTGGCGCCTTATGCCTTTTACTCACAACTAAGGATTTCGGCTTGAGGATTGTGGTGTTATAAGCATAAGCAATACTTAAACCCCTATTGTACCTCCGCGATTGATCGTAAACGAATATTTGTAATTTTTGCTCTGTCCGAAAAGAAGGACGCGGAAATCGCCGCCCTTCTGGTGATCTGACGCGGATTCTGGGAGAGGTCAATTTTCTCGTGGCCTAGTTCTAACGCTAAGCTAATAGAATCGCCATCAGCCGTTACCATTTAATTAAGGGACGGAAGCAACGTATTAATAGGTGTGAACTATAACCGAGTATCTGGTATGGTTTGTGGTCTGATCATGATTTCATTTTGAAGGTTTTGGTAGACTTCTCAAAAAAATTCAATTTTATACCAAGTAATTATCCTTAAATCTCAAAAAACGAGCACACACATACACACCTACAGACCCATTAAGCGGCGTGATAGCATCCGACATGGGCTGATAGCAATAGAAAGACAATCATACTCCACTTTAAATTTGCATCAATTGTATGCACTTTTGGGAACCGGTTTTTGTCTTCTCTGTATAGCATGTGAAACACTAGATGATCACGTGCGTAACAACTACTGACAGCCAAGAAATGTGCCATTTTGCCATAACTGTCGCCTGGCAAATAAAAAGACATCCCCTCCCGGGAATGTGAGCACGGTTAATTTCTCTATTAAGACTCGAATTTCTCTTCTCCTTTTGGTATGGATTTGCAGCAATTTGCCTTGACGAACCTTGCAACCTGTGCTCCATTTGCAAATTTACAAGCATTTCTTTGGAGGTTTCAAACTTATTGAATTACCTCGCTCTTGGAAATTAGGCACATGCACTGTGTTCAATTAAGGGCGCAGCCTCTAAAGAGCACGGTATGATATTGCTACCGAACTGCTGCCCTATGAAAACGAAAACAGTTCTGCAAAGAAGTGGTCAGATGTTTGTGAGTGCGCCTAATGAAAGTCCAAAATAAGCACACTGGCTTGTGCTTGATTGTTTTTTTAAACATACTTAGTATTTTGCTTGTGTCACTCCACTGAGTGGCTGTC